AAATGAGTGGGCAAGACTTTGTGCTTGCTGGGAATGCGTAAGCTTAGCGAAGCCCCGCCCACGATGGGCAGGGCGTGCGTTGAGGTGGAAGCTGCTTTTCAAAAATGAATGTAACTTCGTTCGGAAACGTTCTAGAATGCGGGAAAAAAGTGGTTAGAGGTTGTGAAACAAATGTGGTCAGAGTCTTGGATTGGGCGGAGTTGGCACCAAAGTGGGCGGAGCTTAGACCAAAATTTCATAACTCCGTTCAGAAACGTTCTAGAACGCGGGTGGTTAGAGGTGTTGGTGTGGTTAAGTTTTTGAAGTGAGCGCAGCTGGCACAGGAAAGCAGGGCTAGGACCAAAAATTCACTTCTTTGAAAACTTTCTAGAATGCGGTGAGAATGGGTAGCAGTAGTCAAAAGAAGGGTTACCAAGTTTATTGTGGGAAGGGTTTACACCGAGGTAGACGGAGCTGTGATTAACCACTAATAATTCTTCTCGAATGAAAGATATCGAGGATGATGTTCTCAAAGCGGTTCAGCGCTCAAATATCGAAACAGCTATCTTATTTTGATAATCCAACATTCAGTTGAATGACTCCATCGTAGATGATCGGCAGTGGACATATAATGCACGCGTTAGCGTGCAAAGCCGAACTGGTGTGTGTATATGTGTGTGCAAATTGTCCCAAAAGTATGGGCGCTCATTCACTGTAATGTGTTTTAAGATTCTGAGCTGAGGACGGCAATAAATTCTATGCACATGTTTGCTTTCATTATGTGCAAGAACAAGTGGGTTAAGTTCGGCTTGCAGGGTGGCCATTCTTGAATGCTGCCCGTATGGGCACCCACTCTTCAAGGAGCTTGGCTGTGGGGGCCAGAGAGGCGCCTTGCTAAAGGCACTACGGACTGTCTCAGAACGGGGAATTGGATCGAGGTTTCAGTAAGTCCATCCCTATTCTTTTAGATACGTCTTTTAATAGTTTTTCACGCCGGCACTGAGGTGAACTAACGCTTACCATTATCCGAGACTCTCCACAAACTGTCATTCTGCTGTTCTTATATCAGTTTTTTTCGCAAGTGGTTGCATTTTCGACATTTCTAGCCAGAAAAAGATTGTTTTTCTTGTTAGTACCTAGCTTTACCAGAAAGATTTTTTTATCAAATAGAAAGCGAGAGAGGGATGCGTGTCTTCCCTGAATCGGGTCAGCAACATTCTACCTTTTTTGACTCTATGCTGTCTATGGCATGGTGGAGTGAAGTGGCGTTTCTGTATGCGATAGGAACGCCAATAAAGTTTCTTCCGGAGAGTCCGCATCATCAACGACTTCGGGAAGTCGAACTTCGTTGTTATCTTCTTAGTAATCACCTAGGATTAAGACCGACTCGGGAACCGATGACCTTAATATTCTTGTCTTTGAAAAGAACTGGTGTTCCCACTCCTCTGGTCCTGCATTCTGTGAACTTTCGTGTGGCCCTTACTGGACCCATAGAAAATTTTTTCATGCTTCTCACTCTACATGTGAACTATCGCATGTCGCGTTCAGTTTGCCTCCAGCTACTTGAAAATCTCAGGCAACTACGCACGTCGCAAGAAAACCTGTCTGTGCAACCAGTGGCTAGCGAGTGAAGTAAAGTTAATGGAATGCCTCGCCTATGACGTTTCGTAAGACGTCCTCCCCCCCTTTCCAGCTCCCCGAATCCTACCATTGGCCTCAGAGCGGCAAGGGGTAGAAACGGGGAAACCTTACTCAATATTAGAGGTAATCACCACATCTGCCCGCGACTAGCATTCATATGCTCATCGAATAGCGCACCACCATCGGAATTTTAATTGTTATGCGCCAAGATCAACAGTAGCCGACGGTGCAAAGGACACCTGAAAGAAATTGAAGGAGGTCTCAAAGAGCGAACGTTCATTCTACAAGTACACCATGAGAGACTTCAACGCGGCCATCCAGGAGGAAAAAGCGGCGACAGCGCGCATTTGATCACATGGAATCGGAGGAACGTTGTGGAGCAATGCAACCTCTTCCACGGGAACGGCCTCTTCGAGAAAAAAACAAGAGCCGACGATAGGATGGAAATAGAGATCCACAACGTGGAGCGAATCCCAGTAAGATCGACCACGTTCTCATTACCAGAAAATGGAGTCTGCTAGATGTCAGTGTGATGGATGCACTCCGCACAGAAAGCGAGCACAGGCTCATCAAAGACAAGATCCGCCTTAGGGCGAAACTTTGAAAACAAGACCACTTCCTACCTCCTCCCATGCGACTACCGCAGTGTGACGCAAGCGCCATTGAGATAGCGGCTGCTCAGTACTTGTGGCACGGGTACAGGACTTGTCACAAGATTGCGACTGCTTGTAGGACTTTTACAGTGCGCGACGGCATCGGCTGTGTCAGCAAGAATAAACTCAAAGAGCAGAATTGATGGAAATGCTCGTACACTCTTCCAACAACGGACTGGCATTTACCGTAACTCTGCGTGCACACAATGGAACATGCTTTGTTCAATAAAGCATGATGCATCCCTGCGGGAGAGTCGATGCAGCGTTACGAAGACACTACACCGAAGGGAACGGCAGAAGCGAGAGCGAGCCTTCAATGATGTCGCAAGACATCAATGGCTCAGTCATCGCGGTCGTGAACCAGGCGACGGGCAGACCCTGACATCGAGAAGGAAAATCGAGGAGATGCCTCACTTACTACCCGGACTTTTACTGTTTTAGAATACCGGCTCCCCTTATCCCTTCGCCAACACAAGAGGTGGCTCCGCGGAAAGAAAGCGAGAGCTAGAACAGAGCTAGAATACACCTTGCGTCAGAAAAAGCCGAGCAATGCACCCTGGTCACCGCCTCTCAGCGGACTTTTTGAGGTTGGCACCATAAACTATCATCAAGCAGCTCACCAAGTGTCATTGGGTCGTTCGAATGTAATTTCGATTTCTGAGCGGTTCAACATTAATCAATGATCTATACCCAGTTTTTTCGGTTATATTTTGCGTTCTTTGTGGTAATTTCACAGCTCGTCCCTTGCGGAACTTACGGTTTTTGGCCAGAAAACCGGACCGCATTAGATTTGGCATCTTCATTTCAGTAAAGGATTTCCCACTGAAGGACCTCTGCAACTACCGAAATGATAAATATTCGGATGGCGCGAGATCAGGGCTACACAGTGGATGTAGCATCAGTTTCCAATCATGCTTAAATAATTTTTGCCAATTTTCCAAGAATGTGCGATCTGACTTTGCTATAGCATAAAATTACTCCTTTGCGACTCTCTCATTTTGAAGGGCTTTTCCAACTAGTCCATATAATTCTATTGAGCAGGGGTCCAAATTAATATTCTGTTCCCTTGAGAGCACTTCAAACTATATCTAACCTTTGTAATCCCACCAAATTGGTGTCATGACCTTATTTTGATGAAGATCAGCTTTGGACGTCGTTTGAGCAGGTTCATCTTATATTTACCATAATCATTTGTGAGAAAAATTATTGTAAATATTCCGTCTTCTATAATATCAACAGCCACCACATATCTCATAAATGGTTGATTTTCAATGTGTTTGAAGCTCAAATCGAAGATACTATTTCTCGACGTCAGTGGTGTCTCCTTTGTTTTACCTGAACTTTCTATCTTTTCCTTAGTCTAAGCTTTTCGATATTCAATATAGCCATTCCCATGAGTGCGTTGATCTTTCCAGTTGGTTTCTATCAGGATTTATGAAGGTTGGCTCCGGTCAATGCCATCACAAATGGCTATCCGTGCCTACTACTCAGTCCACATTGTAGTGATGAATTGGTGGAACGAAAAGTAGTGGACTAGTGTTCACATGTGCTCTGTAATCAGACATTTTCACCTTATGTTTTACTTATATCATGGAAAACTCCAGTAGCTTTTTACCACAAATAGAAACAAAAAAAGTGAAATGTGCCTGAAATGTTCGCTCTGACACTCCATGTTCGGATTGATTCCAAAATTACAAATGGGATTGAAATTAGTTCTCTTCCCTCAAAAAAGTGCAATTATATACCTGTTATTTATATCATGTAAAAAGCGTTAATCATAAAGATAACTGGACGACTGTTAACCCATTCGAACAGGCAGGTTTTCGCAAACTCTTCTGTTGTATGGATTACATATACAGGATGTCCCAAAATAATGGGCTCTTCTTTATTGCAATGTATTTGAAGCTTCTAACCGAGGAGGGGTAGTCTATTTATCTTGGAACTTTGAATGGAGACCCAGATAAATCGATAGTTTTGAATACTGTTTACGGAAATGGAATTTAAACTGCAAAATAATTCTCCTTAAAAAGTTATGGGGGCCCGAATTTTGTTAGTCAGATATCGACAGCGGTATCAATTGGATATGCGAACTCGTCGCTTCGATATCAAGAGCCCGCGTGGCCTAGTGGTAGTGGTGTCACTTCGTGGGCGTGAGATGAGGGTTTGCTCCCCGCCATGGTCCGCACTTTTGCAAAGTGTTTTTTTCATTCCGTTAAATGCTCTCTGAACATTTCTGACATCTCCTTGGGTGAACGCCTCTTTTCTGCTTTCATTTTCTCTCGTCGTCCTATTCAAGGAAAGTGAATCTGCACGTTAATAGTATGACTCTTTTTATTTTAGAATTCAATTTGAAATTCAAGGAACATTCAATGGAAAGTCACTAGAGATGCGAAGATGTCTTCAAGAAACTCAGCATTGATGGGAAAACTTTTTAAAAATGCGTGAAGCACGCATGCTCTCCACAAACCGCGCACCCTATGCAAGCTGATTCTCTACATTCGGTGACAAAACAGTCAATCGTCTCAAGATTAAACGGGATGCAACAGGATTGATCAGAATTCCGACAAGACAGGGCAATAGAAAAATGAAAATTTATCCATAAGTCTTCATTTATCATGGCTTTTTCTCCTGCAAAGGTATTATCGATTCTTCTTGCTGAATTCGTGACGCCTTAAGACAGGCGTACGGCAACTTGCGAGGAAAGGAAGGTAGCCGCAAGGTTCGCTGCCATACTTCGCGAGGCGGTCACCGCTGCTGTTGAAGTCGAAACCGACGAATGATTGGAGNACGGCAACTCGCGAGGAAAGGAAGGTAGCCGCAAGGTTCGCCGCCATACTTCGCGAGGCGGTCGCCGCTGCTGTTGAAGTCGAAACCGATGAATGCTTGGAGTCAGATATCTCTGTGGATTCTGACTGGGACCATTGTGATGAACATGGCGAAGACAGTTCTGGCAAGACGAACGAAATCGACATTGGCAATACAAGAGTCACGAGCGATCAAGTATGTCCTGTATTTCTAATGTTTACCATTAGCATAGTATTCGGTCTGTTTAATAATTTGGTAACGAAGGCCATCCAACACTACAGAAGCTCGTCGAAGGGGTAACGCTCACTATCGAGCATGCGGGCAAGGTTTCGCTGGATCAAAGATACCAACGACCTGAGTAAGCTTCGAAGGATTGAAAGTGAGCAGCAAGAGGCGGCTAGTGTTAGGCTCCGTCGGTCTGTACAGCTGAAAAGGATAGGAGAGCTTCTTCATGAAGAAGTGAAAAAGAAAATGGCTGAAGGTGGGTATAACACACCAACTCATTGTTTTGGAAATATCTCCGGTTCGGCAAAAAATGTAGTTTTGAGGTCTCACGCTGCATGACGAAGACCTTCGTTTCATGGCGCTTGGACTATGCCGAGAAAACAATGTTGAGGGCTTCAGGGCGTGCATCCCTTGGATAAAGGCCTTTAAACGGCGCTATGGAATAGTGTCAAGGAAGGTCACAGCATTTGTGACAAAAAAGACCTATAGGAGCCGTGAGGAAATAGAGATCAAAGCCCAAGACTTTGTTAGCGCCTTGAAAAAGGAAATGGAAACAAAACCACTGGCCTGTTTCTGTAATGGTGACCAGTCAGGTTTTCTCAAAGAAATGACAACGGCAAGATCATTAGCACCGATAGCAGTGAAAAAGGTAGGCGTGCCATGTTTATGATCATACCAATTTTGAGTAAAGAATTAAAACATTCCCTTCAGGTTGAAAGAATCGTCGAGAGTAAATTGGCTTTTACGCATTCCTATACCATCCTCCCACTGCTTTATGCTGATCGCAGGTTGGAAAAAAGTTATATGTTGTTCTTCAAAAATAAAAAGAAGAGCTTTCCCGCGTCAAGGCCACTTCAAAGTTCCGAGTCTGGTAGTCAGAGTGGGCACCACACACATCATGACCAAGGAGCTCATGGTCGACTGAGTTAAGAATTGTCTACTTGAGAGCAGGGATGCTCACCAGGAACTACACCTTATTGTAGACTCGTGGTCGTCCCTCCGCGATACCAACGCCATCAAACAAGCGTGTAGCGCTGTTTAACATTGCATACGTGAAGCCTATGCTTCATTTCTTGACGAGCACATTATTACAGGATGTAAAATTGAAGTACACAATATTCCTGCCGGTGCTACCTCAATGATTCGGCCATTGGACGTCTTTTCTTCGGTCCTATGAAGAATGTTATGAAGAGGATTCGAACTAGAGCTATATTGAACGCTACGGACTTTAACATGACACAGAGGGATAATATACTTAAGGTTCTGTCACAAATATATCGAATGTTTAGTGCACCCCGGTTTTCTAGTTCTTTAAAATGCTCTTGGTACAAGGCTGAGTATGTTGATGAATGCCCAGGTTCCTGCGTCACACCGGCTGACCAGGGAATGATCCTAAGTCGAAGTGGCCATTTGAAATGAGACCTACACTGCTGAACGTGTTTTTGTATGCTGAGTTCAAATCTGCTTTCCAAACTTGCCGAGCGTTTCTCTGAACGGAGTTATGAGGGTGGTTTCAGGGAGCTTAACATAAGGAAACTTAAATTACATGGATGCGCATTTCTTCTCAACGGGGGCTTGGTGTGGTGGTAAGCGTGACGCTTCATGTGCGGGAGACTAGAGTTCGGGTTTTGTTAAGGACGGAATTTTTGCAT